TTCCCTACAGATGTTCACCAGCAGCAAACTCTGTTATAGCAGCTGCAGGCGCTGATATGATCTCAGATCACGTGGAGGACGGCAAAGGAAGCTAACAGCTTTCAATGATATATTGTAATTTGCCATTTTAGACAGCTACGGAACAGAGTAACGAGGCTCTGAAATCATTCACTCAGGCTCAAGAAAAGCTGGATTGTGTTTCTTTACTTTTCAGAACTTCTCAGAGCCTTTAAACTGCTGGTGTGCATTGTGGCTCTCCAGTAGTGAGACAGACTGGTAGAATTTCTCAAGTTCATTTGGGAACAGAATTCTTCTTTGAGGGAGAACACCCTTGGAATCTGTGTCGGGAAGTGCCAGGTTACTAGAAATTCATTTTCTTAACACGTATTTCCACTCCTATCATGTATCAGACACCAGGCGGTGTGTACAGAGTGCAGTGACTGTAACAGGGACGAGGTCTCTGTACTTCAAGAGCATGGCAGACGGATAAAGACAATGGGGCAAAAAGAGAGAGGTCAGGGGGAAAAGGTGTGGTTTCATAAGCTATATATGAGTCTTGGGACTTTTTTTAAAGCAACACTTGTAGCTTGAGTCAGCTTCTGGTCCCCTCAACAAGTTAACTCTAATCAGGGTGAACACACACATCCAGGCAGATTTTGATCAGTGATGGTGGATGACTGACAGGGAGTAGCAATCACTTCAGAAGGAGAGATTGGGAAACTAAACTGCTGTGCAACTACAGCCTGGCAGAATGAAACCCCAGGCTCTCTGTTAGACCATGAGCCTAGGGGAATTGAGAAGGACCGCTCCAGCTCTTCCCAAGTTCCAGTAATTCTACTACTAGCAAGATCTGGGACAGCTGTAATGCAAACTTAGCTAGCGTTACCCAATTCTAACTCCTGACAGCTTCAAACTCTGTTTAAGGAAAGTTAAAATGCAGGATTTGGAATCAACTACAGTACAAATTTTCTTACGGTAAAGGTGTGCCAGACAACAGAGGAGAGCAAAGAGGCAGTAGAATCATGTTTACTAAGGAAATTTTTCAGTGCTACGCTGGGATATAGTCCCTTGCTGTATTCTACAGCAAAGGGTCGTGAGGCACACCAAGCACACACGGCAGCCTGGTAATAAGAACCATGCATGGTGCCTGGCTGCCTTCCATGTGCTTTGGCTCATCTGTCTAGAGGTCTCCAGCTGCCTTGAGGGAAACCAAGGGCTGAGCATGTAAAGGCTGCTCCTGAGCTGGCAGCCCAAGTCTGGAGTGGGTAGTGTCCACAAAACACGGAAAGCAAATAAAACAAGAGTGTTTATACAGAGGGTCTTTGCGCAGGGGCTGGAACCAGGGCTCAGACTTGATTTTGGGGAGCCAGTAGCTGGGGCACATTTCAGGGGATCTTGTCCCCTGGAGATCTTGAAATCCTGAGATCCTGTCTTTTACTTCTGAAATCTTAACTACACTAACTGTATACCGATTCCTTTAAGGAATAAAATAGTGGGGACCCCGCAGAAAAATAGGTTTCCTCCAAAACAATCACGTTTTCTTTTTTTTTAAAAAAACATTTTTTAAAAATTTATTTATTAATTTATTTTTGGCCGCACTGGGTCTCTGTTGCTACGCATGAGCTTTCTCTAGTTGCGGTGTGCGGGCTTCTCATTGCAGCGGCCTCTCTTGTTGTGGAGCACGGGCTCTAGGAGCACAGGCTTCAGTAGTTGTGGCACATGGGCTCAGCAGTTGTGGCTTATGGGCTCTAGAGTGCAGCAGGCTCAGTACTTGTGGCGCACGGGCTTAGTTGCTCCACAGCATGTGGGATCTTCCCGGACTAGGGCTCGAAACCATGCCTCCTGCATTGGCAGGTGGATTCTTAACCAGTGCACCACCAGGGAAGCCCAACGATCACACTTTCTCCTCTGCTTTTTTAGGGGAATCACGTTTCCCCTCATCTAACCTTCAATGTTCTTCTTGCTCTCAGCATTAAGCTCATTAAAATAAACAACAGCTATCAGAGCTATGAATACATGGTGAGAATCACGTTTCCTGGAATTCTCATCCCTGGGGGAAAATAAGGGTAATTAACTCCAAAATGTCTTAATTAATTTTTTAAAATAATAATAAAGCTGAACACTTACTGCAAGTGTATCCAACGCATCAACAAGAGTCAGTGAATAATTCCCTAGGACATCATTGATGTTCAGATTTGAACTGAAAAAGAAAGAAAATTAAAATTAAACAAAGGTACTTTTAAAAGATAAAAAAGACAACAAAACTAAACACTCATCAGAAACTAAAATTGCTGGAAACTTATTTATTCAGGGACTACTGTGGGTGGATCAGTATGGCAATGGTCCTTCTGCCTCACAAGGGACAGTCTCTACAGTGTCACAGAATAGCAGAGACACACACGTTTATACTATAGTGGAAAGAACACAAAACAGGAAGTAAGGAAATGGGAAACAAGAGTCATTGCCCTCTCCAAGATACAGTTTTAACAGCACAAATGACCTTTCTGTCCAGCTTCAAAAAGCTCTGATTTCGAAATCATTAGGGATGAAAAAGGAGAGGCCCTGTCACATGACCTGCAAACAAAACTTTAATACAGAAATCAGACACTGCCGCAGATTACACACACAAAGCAGCAAATAAATACCTCAGTTACAGGCTCAGTATCACTCATCTGTCCTTGGGGTGGGGGAATAAATTAACTGCTTTATATCATTTTTTCCCTAACATACCACCCAAAGAATCCCCACCAGCTCCATCAATTGTGAGGAGCTGCTGTTTTACCATGAACCAAGGCAGGGCTTCTCGTAACTGCAGCTGCGTTAACGCTTCCACCACACACCTCCTGCCTCGTGATCAACACCAATCGCCCACTCTGAAACAACCTTAACACACCAACTTCAGGGCTGCAATGAGGGTAACTGACAGTTCTTTATAGCACTAAAAACGACAAAGATAATACTAATACGTCTGGGAAAGGTGGGGACGGAGAAATAGTGCAAGTCATAAAGTCAGCTTGACAAACTCTAGGGAGTTCAGTTATTCCTGTCCCGTTCCCACAAACCCAGAAAACAACTGCAGAAGCTTGAAAACATTTGAAAGTTAAGGAGAGAAATGAAAAAGATGAAAAAGATGTAAGTCAGGAGAGAAAGAGGATGACTGTTTCAAGATTATGTTTCTGAAAAACGACAGTGAAAACACCCTAGTTTTATCTTCAGCAACTGATTCACCGTCATTATGACATCTTCCATCAAACCCCCAGACCACGTTGCCTGCTCCGTGGCTCTCTCTGATGGGTCCTGTCTCACTTCCCTGCGGGCAGCATCTCCATGTTCCTGTTGCTCGCCCTGCTCTCTGAGAGGCCTCCTATGCACCTCAGCTGGGGCGAAGTGGGCCCCACGTGAAACACACCTCGTCCGATTTTACCTGAGCCTTTGTTTTATGCTGGTTATGTCACTTAATCTAGGACAAAGAATGTAGGGCAAAATTTTACCTCCTTTTTTTTGAAACAAACTATCTAGAAGGGGCGATCTAGGAACCAGGGCTCTCACATGTCTCTCCCAAGCCGCGAGGCCAGCACACCGCACCTGCTGAAGAACCACACCTGCTGCTTCTAGCTGTCGATTCTTTCTGAATACATGAATATGATTGCAGAAGGTCCTCTGAAGACGAGAGCTGTGGGTTAAGCTCAGCCCTTCAAGGGCAGTGCCAGCCAGAGAGGATAAAGGAAGTGTCAAAAGCTGGAGGGGAAGGCCAAAGGAGACAGGGAGATCCTCAATGCTGAGCTTAAATATTTACCTCTACTGCTCTGCTGCTCAGAAACCAAGAGCTGGCTCCAACAACCCACCTCATCACAAAACGGGTCCCTCATCACTTTGCCTCCAGGCTGGATGCTGGGTGAACCCCGTGTGACCACCTTCCCCTGAGGGACACCCTCCTCTGTGGCATATCACCCTTTCCACCTGCACCGGCCCTGGAAGGGAGGACTAATCTGGAGCACTACACTCCTTCCCATGGTTTACTGTGCTTTTCCTTTCAGGCTTTAACTACAACGGACCCAGTTTTAAAATATTTCTCAATAGAACGCCCAAGCAGCCACGACAGAGAACAATTATAAGAGTTGGCACAAGAAAAAACGTGTTTGTAGTAACTGGTGGTTCCTTCTCTCCACTCAGGCAAATCCACTCAAAGATCTAAGGCGTTCATGAAAACACTTCCAAATTCTTTTCTACCAGATTGTTACACACTCTTTCAAAATGTGCCAAAATAGAAAAAAGAAAAATGGGGAGGGCAGGAAGGAAACAGGAGACTCCACAGAAGCCCGTTGGCCTAACAGCACCAGATTATCGGGTGTCCATTGAGGCCAGCCCACCGGTGCAGGCGAGACTGCGATCTGTCTGTCCTGTGCAAACCTTCTTGATCTATGGCCAGCCTGACCAAGAGCTCAAACTTCAGGTACAAGGCTGGGTTCAAAAGTGCCCATCTTTCCACAAAACCAGCTGCCGAACCACGATGGCTCTCCACTTAAGTTACCCTGTGTGACTGTCCGTGACATTCACCCCACGCTGCATTTTTAAGGTTCTTATTACCCCCAAACAGAGAAGATGAAGAAAACTGTGGCCTTTCACAGAAAATTTTTGGCGACGCAGCTAACATAATGCTAACACAGCATGTTCAAAATTAAACGCATGTGTAAAAAAGAAAAAAAAAAATTCCACATATACTTAACCTGTAACAGCTGTTCAGAAATCTACCTGGTGCTGTGTAGGCACAGAGGTAATATAAGAAAGTCCCTGTGTTCCAGGGATTGACAATCTGGGGAGACAAGACAAAGGGAAGGGAAGGTGAACACACAACAGTACTCAAGTCTCACACGATATTAAAAGGTGGAAAAGCAGCTCAAAGGAAAAGAACCGAAAGGAGAACTGAGTAGATCAAGGACAGTCATCTTCAAACAGTTCAATGGCGTCATGGAAAAAGACTTGAGGCTGACTCTGAAGGAAGCCAAGATTTTAGGAAGAAAGGGGAATGCAGAGGAGGCCATCTTAAACTAGGGGTGCCTAGGAACGAGTCGGTTTAGGGGCCAGCATCGGTTTGGTTTGATTTGCTTTTTTGTCTGAACAGCAATATGGTTGGGGAGAAAACAAAGAAGGGCCATGCACCCAAGGTCTGAACTAACATTATTCATGAGACTGCAAAATTTCAATATCCAGACTTACTTGAAGAAACTTTTGAATTTGGATCCTCCAACCCAAATTGGGGATGTGAGAGGAACTGAGTTTACATAGTGATCTGTAGCTGGACAGAAATGTTTGCTATTTTTAAAAAAGTGTTCCGGTTTTATTTACTTCATGTCAATACTCTTCATCCTACCTCCAGTCAAACAAGACAGGTAAGATAAGCCTCAAGTAAATGTAATGAAAAAGAGAAGACAGGCACGTTTAGCACTCATATTTTGTTTCTGGACTTTTTACATAATATTCTAATGGGTAAGTTACTCTCTTTTTTAAGTGAGTCATTGACAGTAATCATTAGAATACATTTGCTTAAAATAAATATCTGAAAGATTTTTTATTACCAGTTATTTATTTCAGGGATGTAAATGTGGACTGCTCTTTTCCTGAAAACACTAAAGTCTGAGAGGAGTTAAGTGAAAGGAAAAGGACTAAGAAAAATAACTTTCCACTCTTTACAAGCGGCCAGCGTGAGGGTCTACTCAAGGCTACCATAACCCCAGAGCTCTTTCACCTTCTCAAAGACACCAAGGCTGACCAACCGAAAGGGGACAACCCTTCCCACATGGCATCCCCTCAAAAGCTCTAACTCCATCTTTCCAAAACCAACATATCTGTCTCAAAGCAACCTGACCTCAACTTATCCAGACTGTCACTGAACAGTCAAACCAAACCACTCAGCAGCAGATGTCATCCCCAAGCAAAGAAAACTAGTTAAGCAAAACAACTCAATTTCCTAAAATCTGGAAAGGGCTAGTAATTTTTTTTTAAAAAACTTACTTAAAATTTTTCTCAAAAAAAAAAAATTGAGGTAGAAAATACATTTCTATGTATAAAGCCTGAGACAGTGAAACATGAAAAATATAACTCATCAGTTTCCTACAACTTTAAAAAGGCCAAGTCTTTTTTAAGTTAACCTGGGATGTCCCCCTGGCTTCACTAAAAATCATGCTCTCCAAATGCAATTTAAGACAAGAATCTGTAGATAATCCAACCATTTTAAAAACTCTTTAAGTCCCTTTGGTGTATGGGCTTCCTTTCTAGGACCTAAGGACTGGACTCTGCTGCTTTTCATCAGGTGAAGGAAAACACAGCCCTCAAATGTCCAAAGGGACCAAGCAGCCCAACTCCTCCACTGCCAACTGAGGGGAACGGCCGAGAGAAAGGCAGTCATATCCAGCCTAACAGGGTCAGTGTCAAGGCACACCGGTTCCCTCCAGCTAGGAGGTCCTTAGCTGGGTGTGCTGTCCTCTTGGACTCTGATGTCAACAGCAGTAACCCTTGAAGCTCAGCCTCTGCAAACACGGCTGATGGAAGGGGAAGACTGGTAGATCTTCCCTGACAGCCCTGCCACCAGGGTGGGGGAATTAATGGACAGACCCTACAGAGCAAGGAATGTCATCTTGAGCATCAGGACCCCAAATCTGGGCCACCCAGCCTCTCTCTCTCCCTTCCATCTAACCATCCTCAGCCTAAGAAGCCACCCCTGTGATAAAGGAGAAAGGCTGTAGCCCTGCTCTGCCTCAAACTCACTCGATGGCTTTAGAAAGTCCCTTCTCAGGATCAACTCCAGTAAAGTTGGAGTTGGCTAGGTGGAAGGAGATAAGCGCCGTTTCGAAGCTGCGTTTACAAGGGATTTCATTTTTTTTTTTTTTTTTTTTTTGCGATATGTGGGCCTCTCACTGTCGTGGCCTTTCCCGTTGCCGGATGCGCAAGCTCAGCGCCCATGGCTCACGGGCCCAGCCGCTCCGCGGCACGTGGGGTCCTCCCGGACCGGGGCACGAACCCGTATCCCCTGCATCGGCAGGCGGACTCTCAACCACTGCGCCACCAGGGAGGCCCAAGGGATTTCATTTTGATTTGACTTTCACCTGGAGAAAGGGCTGGAGATGGAAGTCTAAGGCCTCCCAAGCCACCCCTCGGTACTGCCACTGTCCCTTCCGGTCTCTGGGCCTCAGTTTCCCTATCTGTAATAGAGACTGCGCTGACAGCTGTCCAGTAACAGAGATTCCAGGAGAAGCAAGAGAAGGACAGCCACCGGGCCGTCCACGCAACCCCCAGCCCAGGCCGACCTCAAAGGGGGTCGGTCAGCCGAGGCGCCGGACGGGTGGGTGCTGCCCCCAGGACCCTAAACGCCCGGGCACCAATGGGGGGACCCGGAGGACTGAAGGCTGCACCCGCCGGGAGAACGGAAGGAAGCGCGTGCGGCGCGCGGTCCTGGGGGTCGGGCCGGCGCGGGCTACTCACGGGTCCCCGCGGTCGGGTCCTCGGCCGCGGCAGTGGATGGGGTTGAGCTCGTCCTCGGGGAAGGCGTGCGCCATGTAGTTGTCGTAGCCGAACACGAACATGCCCCGCGCCAGGTCGCGCATCTGGGCGCGCAGCTGCGGCGGGAAGGCGCCGCTGTAGCGCTTCTCATACTCGTCCCGGCCGCGGCCCCGGCCGCCCAGCACGTAGCCCCAGTGGCCCGGGCCGCAGACGT